CACCCTGCTCCCATTGCCGATCACAGCCATTTGGTTATAATGGCTAATACAATAGAACATGCCTGAATCTTTCAGGCTTAAGTTATTAAGAGTCAAAACGCAAGTTTTATCATCATGTTGTCAAACTTTATTCTCATGGATAGTATTCACTGTCGTGAGTTTTCCAGTCCGCGGATTCAACTTTTCCCACGCAGCAGCATTAAAGCAGTACCTAACGGTCTGCTCAAATATACATCTTAATTCTACAGAACCGCCGACTGAGACGTGTGTGAGTCCCGGTGACTGAGTCAAGATGAACGAGTGAGTAGCTGCAAATGAGAGAATAAAAAAAGGCATACAGCAAATATCCTACATGATGAAATATTAAGTTGAATTAATTGAGATAAATGTCATGATATTGATAGCTGGCATAGGCTTACTTAGTACAGAAGAAATGCATAAAATCCAACAGCACATCCAGGCACCCATATTGTAAGATTGTAGAACATCCTGTGCTCTTCTCTGTACATCCTAAAGGATGTGACCATTTACGTCATGGTCATAAGACATGTTTTTTGCTTAGATAGCGTCTATCCCCCTTTTTCCTCTAATGCTGAGCTGACAGTTTGACTTCCTATATTATCCATATATTTTGTACCTCTAGTCTAGGCAATAAACCTGTGTACCATGATTGAACTGCACTCTCTGTGTCTGTGTCTTCCTTGGTACGCAGGTATATACCTGCTTTTCTGTGCTAGATCGCCCAACCAGAACAGATCTTCTCGAAATACTTGATCTCCAAATTCTTTATTCTAACACATATGAACAGTTTTAAGGCTCTAATCCAACTTTTAACATCACCACCTGTAACAATCTTAATGCAACAAGGTGCCAGTACGCAAGAGTTTGATTGAAACCGCAAGGGGTAAAAAAACTCACCAGAGGGTGGCCCTTCCTATAGTAACAGTGGGGGAAAGATCTATTTATGCTGCGAATCAGAGACTCTGCAAAGTAGCACTTACAAACTTGTTTCATGTTTCATATACTGTAGAAGTGGTTATGGTTTGATATTACACATTTTGCCTTA